CCAAAAAAAAAAAAACACCACATCCTACCACCAGACTTTTTATTGAAAAACAAGTTTTGTTGAAATTGGCATGTTTCCACTAAGCAAATTTATTTTCTAAATGTCAACACAGAAAATGTGTTGAGGAGAAGGAAACTTAATGCATGCGTGAGAGGAACAGGCTTAAAAACAGAGAACAAGCTTGTGAGCAACAGGATCTGACAACGAATAGTTGAAAACCGGTGGCTTTAATGCAGGGAAGGTGATTAATGGCATGTGGGGAGTGTGATGATGAGGAACAGTGGGAATATCACAACAAAAAGGAAATATAAAAGAAAATGAACTCAAACTCCATATGATCATGACTGTTTAAAAACTGAAGAATGAACAACATGCAGAATTCCAAGATTTTTTTTCTAATCAGTATAAAAAACACCAGAAGAAATTATTTTAACTGTAATTTAAAAATCCAACATTTTAAGAACAAAATAAAATGACTCCTTACCACAAGCAGAGCAAACAGAATAACTCCACAACTCCAAACATCAGCCCTGCGACCATCGTACCTCTCTCCCTGAAACACACAGCGGGGCAGCAATAAACATCCAAACACACACACTCACACACTCATTCAGAAAATATACACTAGGAGAGAAATAACTTACCCTAATGACCTCTGGGCAGGCATAATGAGGAGAGCTATGAGGAGAGAACAGGAAAAAAGGTTCTCAACAGTTTCACTCTAACCTTCACAGCGTTAGAGTGAAACGGAACAACACTTGATTCTAAATGCAACAGAAAATCAAACGTTAAAGCAGAAAATTCTTCCTAATTTTTATCTTATATCCTCATTTCTTCTGATGCCTGGATGGTTTCAAAACTTTAAGCTCTTAATGAACAATACAAGTGATTATGTCACTTCTCCTGTTAGAGAGGTGAGACACGTTCAAAGATATTCCAAAATTATTTTGTGAAAATTTTGGCTTCAGGAAATAATAATTAAAAAAAATAAAAATAAAATCTCATTGTTATTAATAGAATTCAAGTGGGGAAAATATCAATGGAATAAGCCTGAAATTTGGAAATCTAAACCAGATATACAAGCGCAGAGATGATCTGCTATATGTTGGAAGCTGTCAGATGAAATATTGTTTTCATGAGTGAAGCATTAAAACCTGAGGAAGTGCAATAAGGCAAGTTTTTGGGTTTATCATTTTATAATGTTTCCTAATCAAACAATTCCTTATTTTCCCCTTTGAATAAATAAATAAATAAATAAATAAATAAATAAAGACCCGAGTGTTAAATAGAAACCTGCCGTTCTGCTTACCCACAGCTGGTCTCCAGCAGACTGTCTCCAACTTGAAGTGAAGCCATGCCAAAATCTGCTATCCTAATGTTGTTCTTCTCATCCAGGAGAAGATTCTCAGGCTTCAGGTCTCTGTGACTAAAAACACACAGAAAAAAAAATAATGCTATGTGAAAAAATAACGTTATGTGACAGCATATGTCATAAGATTACACACATCTGAGCTCATAAAAACGCCTTTGGCTCTCAAAAACTATACTAAGCATGTTCTAATTGACATATGAAACCAGTTGATATTTGAATTATATACACACTTATAGCTGCTGCTGATGATAAATGATAAATTGTTTACATAAAAAATACATTTTTAAAAAAGAATTACAAACATAGCACGCAAATGAATAAATACCATAAATTAAAATGCAAATGTAAAAATAAAAGTTATTAAACAAAAAACATTAGACATTTACATCTTTGAAGTAAAAACAGATTTCCTCTTGATTTTATTGGAGAATTGAAGGTGGCTATACTCTTAATTATATAAGTATCTCCTTCATATCTCCTATAAACTGCATGTAAAAACATATTTACTGTAAAAAAGTATTAAATATAAGATACCAGAAAAAAAAAGAAAAGAAACATGATATTACTTATTGTTCATGTTTCCACCTAGTTCAGGCAGATGTTAGGAAAATAAAGCATTTTCCTAAAATGTTTTGTTCTCAAAAAGTGACAAAGCATTTTTTCTGAAAAATGCTTTGTCATTATGATTATTACAATATATCTATTATGATGTATGTTTCTGAAAATAATTGTACTCTTGTCTGTTTTCAGGAATGGGTTGGAAATGGGCTAAAAATAGATGTTGCCATTTTCTGTTTCAGTGTCATGTGGCTCAGATCACATGTGGTGTTCCTCAAGGCTGTGTTCTTAGTCCTCTTATATGCAATATCTACATGTCCCCCATAGCTTAAACTACAGGATGTTTCAACAGTACTACAGTTATGCTGATGACCCACAATATCATCAGCATACTCATTAATGTCATTGTTAATGATCTTCAGCTACTTTAATTAGAGTTTTATCAATCAAGCTTTTTACAGACCATATGGAATGACTATGGCAGAAATCGAGGGCAGAGATGATTTGTCTGAAGAATTTCCGGGCCTCTTTGGGAGTCAGCCTGCCTTTCTTCACCAAGTAGTCAAACAACTCTCCACCAGACACATGCTCCAACACCAGATACCTAAGAAAATAAAATTAAAACAAGGAATAGTTTTCTGCTTCCAGATGTGGTCATTCATCTCGGTTTCAGACAGAAACACGGCAAACAATGCAGCGTTCTCTTATTTTTAGAGTGCAGTAAAGATCCGGACACAAGGATACTCACAGGTATTTGTTATTTTCATAGACATCATAGAGCTTCAGAACATGAGGGTGCTCTATTAGTTTAAGAATAGCTATCTCTCTCTCCACCTGCACAGAAGGAGGGAGGGAGAGATACAGAGAAAGGTTAGGAGAGAAAAGAGAAGGTTACAAATGATGGAGATGGAAATGTCAGACGGGAGAGAAAGGTAAACCTGGTGTACAGTGAGACTTAAAGAGCAGAGAAGCAAGTCTACACAGGAGGTAAGGCGAAATGCGGAGCTCTCCAATGCTGAATAGTTTTTAGTTAGCTCAGTCATTTTAAAACAGAGATAATTAGTGACAAGCAGTGGGGTGAGCATGAAGCTAAGACTTGTAGAGCTAATGCTAGTGTTCACCACCGATACAGAACCCCATCCGACCCATTACTGCTTATGTACCCTGTACAATTCCTCTGAATAACTCTACCAGTGGTTTAAGTGCTTTGGCACATAAATCTTTCCCTGTAATACAAACACACAAAGAAAATGGATCTTTGAAATTTCCCCATTAACATATCCAAAGACCTGTTTTGTCTTTGTTTGGCAGAAACCATCTACCATCTATTGAGACACTTTTGCTCACTGGAGCAAAAGTTAGCGATTGCGTGATCTGATTTCACCCAATCACCAACATTTTGTATGTAATGCATCAGGTCTATGAAGTTGACAGGAAATTGCCATTAACGGTGAAGTGCTTGGTGGGTGAATGCATACAGGTGGAGCGGAGACTCATGCTGATACACGCTGTAGCTGATGCTGTGTGTAGCTTTACGGACTAATCAGAAATTAACTTTCCTACCATCCCACTCGCAACATGTGGGTGGTGAAATGCACCATGGTGTGTACAGCTGGCATGTGTGTTTCTGTGTGACCAAGGTGAAAAATAACGTTGCTAACAGAAAAGCTTTAAATGTCTTTGCAAAGTGAGAGATCATCTATTAAATTGGATGAAGATGAACACATAAACTGGAGCATAGACATTTTTTAGAAGTGTCTTTGTGAGCTCTGCTGATTTCTTATGAAAATGACCATTTCTTCAGATTTTTGTATAATTTTTGCCCAGGTTTGTCCAACTTAAAAAGTGAGCTATTATTGTTACAGGTTCATTTTTTAAAGTACAGTAAAGTAATTGTAGGGACGCACGAATATAAAAATTTGGGCCAATAATAACTTCCTGTTATGGCAGTTAGCTACCAATATTTTACTTCAACAAATTTTTTTATTCAATTACTCATTTAATTGTCAGAATAATCGATAGATTACTTGCTTACTAAAATAATAGTTTACGACAGCCTTTCTAAAAGTATTGAAGCATAAAATCCAAAAACTCTCCCGTTACATTTTCTTAATCTGAATTATTGAGGTTACCAAAAGTTTTTTTTTTTACAGAAAACAAACATATCTCAGTGTAAGACGACGTTCGTCTCACTGAATAAATGTACTTTCATGATGTGGAAGTAGATGATAAATTTATTTTAAGGCGTTTTATTCAACTTTTTCAGGGGGGTGCCTGAACATGTAGGGCAGTGTTTCCCAACCCTGGTCCTTAAGGCACACTGTCCTACATATTTTAGAGGTTTCCCTGCTTTAATGTGCCTGATTCAACTGATTGCAGTTCAACAAACGCCTGTTGATCAGTCATCGATTGAAAACAGCTGGGCTGAAGGAAAGAAATACCTAAAACATGCAGGGCAGTGAGCCTTGAGGACCAGGGTTGGGAAACACTGATGTAGGGCATTGTATAGAAGTTAATGTTTACCTGTCCTGGTTAAATGATTTTTCTCGTTATGGTTTGCCTCAGCTTTTCACTGTTTCACCTCTTGACCCCTACAGATCTCTGCTCTCCAGCTTCTCATCGTCGCCTTCCTCCTGCCCTCAGCTCTGAACTCTCCTCCTCCACATCTCAACAAGAGCCTCATCTGCAGCTTTGTTACATCACTCCTATTAATAAGACACTCTTCTGTTAAGTCTAGTTAAAGCGCCGAGTCAAATGTTCCCTATGAGATCAGTTTAACCATGTTTCCCTGCTTATCTTCTAGACTCTACCGAGGTTGTGTTGTCAGGTTTTTGGGGTATTTAACAGAAAAAAGTTTGTCACTTTTGCTTATCATTTCTGGATTTTCTAAAAAAAAATAAAATAAAACTGAATGAGAAAAATGGAGTAGATTTTTCACAATAAGAACGTTGACCTAACTCCTGCCATAAAAAGGCTCAACATGGTGTTTGCTTAGAAGTCCTAATGGGTTCTGAATTTATTCTGGATGGTGGAATTATTTAGCTGAAATTGGTGTGAACTGAACTCCACGGATAAGCTGTGGCTCTGATATCATTGATAATATTGATGATCCTAGCAGTCCAACTAAATTCCACTTTAGTAAATATCAACTATAACTCGGAAGTACTCTGAAAATATCCATATCCAGTTGTGTGCAGCAAACCTTAACTCTCAAAAGAGCGCAATTATTTCAAAGTTTTGACAATATTCACACTTATTGTTTTAAATGACTGATTTCGCTCCTAAAGCCAGTCATTTATGGCATTAGCTCAGGCAGCTTTCTGTGACATGCCCTGAAAGAGTCTGCCTCAGAGGAGAACACGAGGCCCATCATTGATTTTCGCTCCACACTCAGGGATTGGGTATTGAACACTAATGCTCCCTGTACTTTAAATAGGCTCCATTGGGCTGAGCCACGGTGTGAAATACAGGGTAGAGCAAAAATGTTCATTCCTCTTTCAACCTTTTTACTTTTTGTTACATTACAAATGTAATACAGAGTATTTCACTTGAATTTTATGTGTTTATCTGGTTTTCTCGTGTCTCATTCTAAGCAGTTAACTCAACCTGAGTTAGCTCTGTAGCCATGACGCTATGGGCTCAGGCTACTGGATGACAAACTGACCAATTTTCCTCACTTTCTTCTTCTGCTACGCTCCAATTTTGCATTAACTGATGTTATTCCAACTGTTAACCTTTTGTTTTCTCTCCATAGAGGCTAAATCTTCCATGGAGATTTAGAATAAATCCAAACAGAAGGTCAGACCCTATGAAAGATAAATCTCTAGCTTCCATAGGGACTGGCGTTCTTAGTCTTGCTGTGTTTTTTCTCCACTGTTTGCTCAGTAAAGGTGCATCAATAAATATTAAAGATGCACCGATCCAATATTAATATCTGCATCAGTCTTGATATTGAAAAAAAAATCTAGATAAGGTATTGGTGACGATGCTCCTAATCCATGATGTCAGATCTATTCAGTCTAATTCTATGCTTTGTGCTCTGGGCCACGTGATGCTTTATTATTTATTTTACATTATATTTGGAATTTCAAATTGCCCTTTCTGAACTATTTGAAAGGTTTGTTGCAGTTTATTTTTACAAGTTTGACTAAACTTTTTGTCTTTGTCAGTTTCAGTTCCTTTATTGATTATTCTACGTTTGCTGTTCTGCTCCTAATTTGTTCAACAAAACTGAACAAATTAAAGTTGTGTTGTGTTTGACCAAACTTATATGAAGCTATTGTTGTATTTAAGTGTTCTGTGCTGATGCAGAGATATCAAATAAAATTGAAGTTGAGTGTTTTAAAAACATTTTAAATCAATTCAGCTGTTTTTCTGCATTGGATCGGCATCAGCCAACACTAAACCTCAGGTATCGGTATGAGAAGTGAAAAAAGTAGATTGTGCATCCTGAATACATATCAATACATTTGAAAATATGGTTAAATCCAATTACTGTGCGCATTTTAGTGATACTAATCACCCTTCTTTACATGTCCTTAAAAAGCAGATTACACATAGGAATGCTTTTCATGAGCTGTATTTGCGTTTGTGGAGCTATGTTTGCTAAAGAAAAGGTTGTAGATAGTTCTTATGCTCACTTTTATCATATTAGTATCACCAAAAACTGAAGTCCACATCGCCCAGCCATAGTCTAAAGGTTCTGGGTGAGACAGCACTCCTCCTTCTCTGCCCGCAGCCACAGCAAAGACGCCGAGGTTGAGCAGAAGTTTTATTTCAGTCCACTTTGTCTGCAGCAGCTCTCATCAGAGGGCTTCATTAGCAGACTGAAATCGCTCCTATTGTTCAGCGCAGAGGCAGTGCCCACACACTCAGCGGCCTCAAGACGCACCGACAGGCTTTTTACTGACACAAAATAACTAACCACTCCTCTTGCTGCTTCTGCAGAAAACCACGACAGACACAGACACACGTGAATATCTCAGTCAGAAACCCGAACAGAACCGGGCGCCATACCTTCATTAGAACCGACTCGGAGAGCTTCTCTCTGTTCACAATCTTTATGGCCACCTTCTGCCCCGTTATGCAGTGGACACCCAGCTTCACCAGTCCTGAGAGGCAGACAGAGGGGGAACAGGAAGGAAGTAAAAAGTCATGAATAATTCAGAACATTTGGGGTTTTTTTCTGACAATGTCACAAACGCTGATCAAATAAAACTCACTCATTCAGGAGGACTTTCTCCATACGTGTCATTAAAATCAATCTGGTTGGCATCCATGAATATAACTGATAACTAGGACTGCAACTAACAATTATTGTATTAATCAATTCTGATGATTAATCGATTAATCTGGGAAAAATTGACACATTCCACAGATTTTTCATTTAGCCACTTAAGCCTTCTTTAAATGTAATATTAGAAATGCATTAAGAGATGCAAAAACAATTAAATTCTTTTTTTAAAATAAGAAAATAAACATTTCATTGCATAAAATGCAACAATTCCTTTAGTGAACACTTGATCATTTGTAGCAAAGGATGAATCTGCAGCTAAAACATCAACGTGTAAATCCCTGCTTGACTTAACATTGATACTTTTTTTAATCAGCAAATGCGCCATACATAATTTCCACAACGTTGCATTGACAACAACGCTCATATGGAAGTCGTTGCCTATAAAAAAAGTCTCAAAATGATTTTCTGTATCAGTTAGGTGTTAATGAAGTCAGCTAGCTGAAAAATGAAGTCAGCTAGAGCGCAGAGATAAAAAACAAAGCTATTTAAAAGAATACTTTCAAAAAAGATAACAGATAACAGGAAATAGTAAAATTGTGCTGTGTTATCTTTTAATCCTTTGTAAAGTTTTTGTGGACCATGATGGACTTAAAAATTGTTGGCTGCCTTATGGCAGGATCTATGTTCTCTAGGAAAACACACAGAGACTTAGGATGTTATGCTAACTGTGCTAATCTCTACTACATGATTTAAAAATCTCTGAACGTTAAAAATAAAATCAGTTTTGTTTTTATATTTAGATATGTATGAAAAGCAGGAAGCAGACTATAGCGCAGGCATTATGGGTAAATACACCCAAAACAAATGTACATAACTAGCGCTAGCGAGAGAAACGGCTCATGGTCTTTTGCCAAAGACAAAAGAGAAATCCAACAACCGCTAAAATTTGACGCCACTCCATATTTTGTTTATATTTCATGAAGAAGGAAGTTGCGCTCAGTGTCTTCTTCAGAGGTTTTCATGTTGTGTCGTTCAGTGGTTCTTGGTGCAGCGCCCCCACAGGTGAGTGGGAGAATAGGTTGCTCAAAGGTTTGGTTCATTTAATACAGTGCAGTGAGAAATTTTGGTCTTGAATCGACCAAACAGATCATAGACCAATTCAGGTCTTTAATCATATTAACAATGAACAATTTTATTAAATAAATGTTGGGGACACTTGCTTTGCTATATAAATTGAGATAATTCTGTTATTTTCAAATGTTCAGTTGGATTCAAAACTACTACCTCTATCAATGAACACACAGCAGAGTGTGGAGCGAAAATGCGTTATAGTCCTCGGAAATTTTAGTCAACGCCAGAATCAGACTGACTCAAAAGAAAGTGTCAACTGGTATCAGCCTGTAGCAGACTTTTCGTTGTATCCCTATTTGATACAAATAGACTGAACTTATGTAGCGCTTTTCCAGTCATTTTGACCACTCAAAGCACTTTACACTGGAGTAGCATTCACCCATTCACACTGACAAACGCGCACACATTTATACACCGATATGCATATCAGTAGGCAATTTGGGGTTAAGTGCCTTGCCCAAGGGCACATCGACATGTGGCAGGAGGAAGCTGGAATCAAACCAACAGATCGCAAGACGACTACTCTTCCCACACAGCCAGTCGCCCCATATGTATTTATATAGTTAATAAATACAAATCAAATCAGAGTTTAGTTAGCTTTATGAAAACATTAAATTGGAAATTGACCTCAAAATGGTTGGTGAACAAAGATTCAAATTATATCTTTAATACTTGCATTGAGCCTGACTGTAAGTGGGCCCCCAAATACATATCTGCCCAGGGCCTCACATAGCGTTGCACCGCCTCTGATTTTAGTTGTATGGGTGAATTTAAATTGGGCCCTACCTGTCTGTCCCTTCCCGAGGGTCTTTTCCAGCCGGTAAGGCCCCACGTACTGGCTGGACTGGCCCACCGTGATCTCTTTGCCGCTCATTCTTGCCAAAAGTAGACTGTGCCCCCCGCGAAACTGTCCGGCAGATCAAGATCACGTGCGTACCGTCGCAACGCGCGCCACACGCGCGCGCGGAGGGAAAAAAAAAAAAAAAAAAGACTAAAGTGGTCGTGATCCGAAGCCGGGGAAGAGGTGTGTGTGTGTGTGTGTGTGTGTGTGTGTGTGTGTGTTTGTGGTGGGGGGGCCTCTGCAGGCTACTCCCCTCAACTTGTCATGCGGTCGGGTCCAGAAGCAGTTCCCTTTCAGCACCGCTCGGAATGCAGCATCATCCACATGGAGAGGTGGGAAGAGATGACGTGTGCATCCAGCTAATAGTTGGCCAAAGTGGAGCAGGAAAGGAGAAGCTCATGCAGGGAGCTGGACAGGAAGGCTACTTTAGCCTCAGATTGATTTCTGTTAAGAGTACAGTCTCAAATAACCCGAGTCAGAACGGCCTCATTGGATCCATCCCGAGGATCGATATCAGGGACCCCCTGTCCTCACTGCTGCTACTGCCGCCGTCCAAACATGTTCCCGTAGTCCTCCTAACGTCACGCATGTCCCGGCTCCTGTCCCGTCAAGCCCCGGGGCCTCGTCTGTCTGCTGTCGTCCAGATTATAATCTATCACTAAGGCATAAGCAAGAAGAATGGGTTTTCCAATATCCGGTGCACACTTCGGCTCACCCCCTCCCTGGCCCTGCATCAGGAAACAGAGGAAGAGGAGGGTGAGCGTTCAGAATGAAAAAAAAA